AAAAATGGTATCCCTATGTATTATTATTGGTTTTATGACCAATGGTGCCTATTAAAATTATGTATAGCATTTGTATTATAGATAAGGTATAACAATGCTTAAATGTAAATATAATATGCACTTGTATTGTATCATTACTGTAATATCCCAAATTTTTGGAAATTTTATCAATTAAGTTAGGGACTTATGTGTGAAAGAAATATTGTTTTGAGCTTAATAGCAAAATTTTCAAAAGTTGAGGGACTAAAAAGAAATGAAATGAGATAAGGATCAGCTTCTTTTCTTTTTCTCTTTTTTCTTTCTTTCTTTTCTTCCTCATCAGCCGCGTGTTTCTGCTTCTCTTCTTCTTCCCCGACAAGCCCCCCCTAAGCCACCGACTTCCTCCTCCTTTGAAAACCGGTAAAAAGGGCTTGAAATTCCTCCTTCTTTCTTGTTTAACCACAAGATTTGGGGCTTAGAATTCTCTCCCTCAACCCAGAAAAAAATCCCGGTTCTGCTCTGCTCTTCCTCCCCTGTCCGTCGGCTTTGCTGGGTGCGAATTTCTGGGCTTTTTCGGGTAAGCCACAGCCATGAAATTCATCCTTTCTCTCTTAATTTGGCTTGGGTTACTCTAATTTTGTTGTTGGTTCTTGAATTTCTGGAGTTTTGCCGTGAGTCCGTCCAGGATCCCATCGGCTTCCTCGCCAGCCAAGCTCAATTTCAGCTGGCTAAAAATTCTGGTATGTGCTAGCTTCTCCAAGGCTGAATTTTACCCATTTAGTAGTTGAAATTTATACATGTAGCTACTGCCTTCTTGTCCGAATTTTCTGTTGAAATAGGGGAGGAAGTTCGGCAGCCTCCAAGCATGAGTTTTGTTTAATTCATGTAGAAACTAGCTTAATTTGATTGTTGTGAGGTTAATTGTGGAAATCCCATGACTTTCCATTGTTTTTGCCAAAGTTGATTCCTCCATGTGCTGCCATGGGTTGTCCGAAATATGGTGGAATATGGGGGGAATTTGGTAGCCTTTTTGACATGTTTTTTTTTTAGCTTAATTTATGTAGAAATGGCTTCATTTGGCTGCTATGATTTCTGGAGAGAAATCCCGTGTGTGAGTATGGTTTTGCCAATTTTTGGAAGTGTAGTTACTGTTTATTGTACTGTTCATGGGCACTGTTCACACACCGAGGGTCAACAATTAACGGGGATTTAAATATTTAATTTGTAATATAAAAACAAATTTGGAGATGTCTGGTCATGTGGAGATGGATAGAAATAGCATCGTGATTAGGGGTACTGCTAATGATGATTTCCCTTTGATCGTTCTGTCACCGTAACACTTGGGTTAAGCCTTTTGTTTTGTGCGAGTGAGGTAAATAAATTATGACAAAGCTCTTCGATTTTAAAACATGTTTTAAATTGTTTTTGAGATGTGGCGAGGTTTAAATTGATTTTAAATTGATTTTATCAGCATCTGAGTGTGATTAAAATGAAATGAAAATTTTGATGATTTTTATGAAAATTATGATTTTCTGGAATTGAGCATGATTGGAGTGAAAATGAGAATTTCATTGTTTTTTGGAGTAGAGCATGCCTATTTGGAATTGACTGAACTGTCTTGATGAACTGAGAATTTTGTAAATTCTGAGTTTCTGTTAAATCCATACTCATATGGAAATTTTTCGATTTATTTCTAAAATTTGAGATTGATTGTAAATTTTGGGTTTTCTATAAATCCTACATAGTTTTATCTCTGATATGGTCATGTTTACTATGCCTGCTAGTGGGAGGTTTATAAACGCTAGCACATGTCGACATGTTTACTGATATGACCGATTCATTCTATAATCCTGCCAATGGGATAATACATTGGTAATTACTGACGCCTACCAGTGGGAGATTGTTAAACATTGGTACCATTACTGACACCTGCCAGTGGGAGTTGTTAAACACTGGTACTATTACTGTGCCTGCTAGTGGGAGGTTTATAAACGCTGGCCATGACCTATAGATGAGACAACTATTGAATTTTTCTTCTGCATTAACAGTTTGTCATTGAACACTTTGCTATTGAACTGAATTTGATTCTGCATTAATGGTTTGTTATTGAACATTTTGCTATTGAACTGAATTTGATTCTGATTCTGCATTAACGGTTTATCACTGAACATTTTGTTATGTTACATGGTTTATCTGGCATGCTTAAACATTTTTACCAAGGGCTATCCATATATTTACTTACTGAGATATTTTATCTCATAGTTTTCCTTGTCCACCATTTCAGAAAGCGAAACCGAGGATGGGGAAACCAAGGGGAGTGACGAGGTAGAAAGCTAGCCATTCTAATTGGATATAAGTTTTAGATTTTATCATCCTTTTGTAAGGTAGATTTTAGTCTTGAGATTTTGTGATTTGAATAAGTTCCAAGCCTTGTGCATTCGTGGGACCCATCTCATGAGTGCATGGCGTCTGCCATGTCCACGGATTTGGGTTCTGGGGCGTGACAATTACAGTATAATGGTGCAAGATGAAAATGAATAATTAAAAGGCACTTAAAAGAAGGCACTTAAAAAAAAAGGACATGCCTTGATAGACATTCCTATTGTACTATAAGGTATAGCAGTGTCTGAGTTAAAAATTCTTGAATAGATCTATCTCAATGTAATGAGAAAAGAAAATGGTGATTCACTAGGTCAATTTAATATTGGAAACTATGGTATTAGAGTTCAAGCTCCATTCTTGCAAAGCATGTTGTTGGCCCACCTAATAGGACCCAAATTTTGTACTAAGTCTACATGTAAAGGGAAAAATTAAATCACATGATAAGACCTGACATTCATACTAGACCTACACATAAAGCGACATGTTGAGTGAGAAAATCCTACATCAAGAATATAACATATGAAACATAACTTGATGGTACCATGAATTCTGAATGAAAGTGATGTATGAGCTAGTGAATATGTGAGTTGGTGTAAGAAAAGAGAAAGTAAGAAAAAGATTTATATATAATATATATTTATATCACG